TATATATATATATATATATATATATATATATATATATAGATATATATGCTTGCTGGTGGGGGAGGGATATTGCATGGTACACATGTGGAAGACAGATGACAACTTGTCAGTTTCCACTATGTAGGTCCTGGTGATCAAGTGATGATCATGAGACTTGTGAGACTTGGTGACAAGTGCTTTTTGTCTGTTGAACCATCTTGCCAGTGCCCCTCCGTTCATTCTCATACTGTAACTCCAGGCTGCTTGGAACTCATTATGTACTTCACAGAGGTCTTAAATTCATATCAATCCTCCTGACTCAGCCTCCCAAATATTTACAAGTTTGGGTCACCACACTTGTCTATAAAGTTGGGCTGGGGGTGGCAGGCTTTCCTTGCTTTGAGACCATCCTGTATATTTCTTTGAAGACCGTATTTCAAGAATAGAGACAACTGTTCTATGTGATGACTTCAAAAGGTGATTCTGGGCAAAGTGCTCTGGAGTTCTTAATAACATGGGTGGATTCAAAGCTGCAGAGAACTCAACCCAACAGCTGAAGCCGCTACAAAAACCAGGAATTCTTTAGACTTGTTCCTGGCAGCAGACAGGCAATATTTAACAATGTATATCTCACAAATAGACAACTTTAATATGCAAGGTCTATAACAATATAAAGAGATTAATATGTTGTGCTGACTACAAGCCATCTTGGGAACATAATTGAATTCAAGAATTGAATGCATGCATCATAGAGATGTGGTCCAATTTCCCTCCACATTACATAAAAATCCATGGGCATATTTAAAGTAATGTGCACACTTGCCTTATTTCAGAAGTTTGGTTTGTTTCCTCAGCAGAATATTTAATTTTTGTTTGGTACCTTCTGTTCATTTGTTACACTCACAAATTCTGTACAAGTGTCACTTCCGTGCTCCATTGCCATGGAGCATGAGGAGTGGAACGAGTAGGCTTTCTGCTGCACAATGAGATGGTGCGCTTTTTCAGCATATGCATGCGTAAGCCTTCTTTTGTGAATGGGACCGATAGGGTCAGATAATGTTTAAAGGGAAAGGTTTTATGTCTCTCCGGCTTCTATGTTTCCACATGGATGCTCACACACACACATAGATTGAATTATGAACAGACCCATTAATGCTGGGATCACAAAAGGTCAAGTTTTGTCTCCTTTTACCCCCATTCAGATTGCTTTTGTAGAGAGAAAAAAAGGATTTGCAGGGAGAAAAAGATTTATGATAAAGAATTTTTTAAAGAACAGTTTTCTCCTTTTAACAACATCTTTGATTTGGAAAAAGATCATATTATGTAAAATAATTCAATAATATTGTATCATCTGCCTGAATTTGGTGTAAGTTAGTTCATGTGTTTAGTTGTCTTTAAGGACAACATGTTATCATAGTAACTGAGAACAAAACATAGAACTTTGAAGATAAAAGGCCATATGAATATGTAAAGTACAAAGTTTGAGCAGAACTGAATGGAAGTATTATCAAAACGT